TCAGTAAGTTGCCTACGTCCACGGGGCAAGAAGATGATGGAGTTTTCACTAATAAAGAAGGAGAGTACAAACTGAGATTTCAAATCACTCAAAACAAACCAACTAATCTCACCAACAAAGCTCTCAATCTCTCAAACAATAACCCTAACCAATAACTCAGAAATATCTCTCTTTTCTGTGCTCCAATAACCCCAAAAACAATCTCAACAACAGCTCCCCAAGAAACCCTAAAACATGATTACTATTTATATCAAACAGCAATCCCAAACAAAATGGGAGACCGTAATCAGGCCCAAACCCGACTGGCGGTCGATCATCGAAATCATCGCGGTCGACCGGACAGAACGGTAAAAACCAAAAAAATGTATTACAGGGTCCGCGATCGACCGCACTTGACGACGCGGTCGACCGACCAAAAAATCGAAAACACCCTGTAGTCGTGCACGTTTGTGGTCGACCGCGCCAAAGCTGGCGGTCGACTAGCAAGTACCCAAATGCCTTTTTGCAATAAATTTCCTAATCTTCTCCAATGTTTTCGTGGTTTATACAGGGGGTGGATTATTTCAATCTGTTATACTTAATTGTATTACTGTAGGTTTTCGTGCATATATTGAAGTGGATAATAAGACTTCTCAATTGGTGATTTAATTAGGAAATTTCAAAAGAATTAGCAGAGGTGCATAAGAAATAAAATGTGAACATCCATAAATGGCGAAAATAAGGTGAAAATAAATCATACTCTTTTTAAAAGCATGAGTTCGGGAAAATCTTTCAGTAGACAAAAATACCCTTGAAATTTAAATATTAACCAATTAAGTAAAAATAAATTGATAAATTGATGAATTCTTATTGGATATACATAGTATGAAGATAATGATACAATTTAAATTGAAATATAAATCTAAATAAAATTATTAAATGCTAAATTTATAAATGCCTACAAAATAAAGGGCGTATATACAAAAACCAAATAAATTAATAAGACAAATAATGTCTGCCCCAAAGGTCGAACCCAGGAATAGCGCAGACCTACAAATGTACATAATATGGATGAGATAATTACAAAATCCATCAAACAAATTAAAGAGACAAAAATCATTCTAAAAATTATAAAATAGAAAAATTAAGGAAAACAAAAATCATACTTTCTTTAAAAGCACGAGATCGGGAAAAGTTTTCCATAGTCAAATTTATCATGTACTACTTTAAAATCATGAGTTCGGGAAAATCTTTCAGTAGATAAAAATACCCTTGAAATTCAAATATTAATCAATTAAGTAAAAGTAAATTGCTAGATTGATGAATTCTTATTGGAGATACATAGTATGAAGATAAGGATACAATTTAAATTGAAATGCAAATCTAAATAAAATTATTAAATGCTAAATTTATAAATGCCTACAAAATGAAGGGCATATATGCAAAAACCAAATAAATTAATAAGACAAATAATGTCTGTCCCAAAGGTCGAACCCAGGAATAGCGCAGACCTACAAATGTACATAATGTGGATGAGATATTTACAAAATCCACCAAACAAATTAAAGAGACAAAAGTCATTCAAAAAGTTATAAAAAAGAAAAATTAAGGAAAACAAAAATTATACTTCCTTTAAAAGCACGAGTTCGGGAAAAGTTTTCCATAGTCAAAATTATCATGTACTATTTTAAATATTTAATTTAAATTATAATTTATCTAATTATAGTTATATCATATCCTAATATCCCGTGAACTATCTATAGCTCAATAATTTAAATAAGATTAATAAAATATATGAAACAGCTTCGTGGTATCAGTTTATTACATGAAGTATTACAAAAAACAAAAAGTTTTAAAAATTAGACAAAATATATACTCTCAAAAGTTTAAAATTACACAAAATAAAAAAATAAAATTTTAAAACTTGGCAAAGAAAAGAGTAATTGTTTGATATTCTTTTATTGAGATATATAAATGTAACTTATAAGTTAATGTTTAGTATCCTTTTTCAGAATCTAAAAAAAGTCAAGTTGATGCTCGTAAAAAATAGCAATAATAACAAATTAAAAATATCCAGTCAAATAATAAAAATTTTAAAAATATATGATAGATTAAAATTAATGTTATTTTATAAATTAAAGTAACTACAAATAATTTTATCCATATGTTAGAGCAGCAAAAATACATAAGTATCATTAGTTGATAGAAAACTAAATTGCAAAAAACTAATAAAAGACTATAATATAATAGCTTGATATTAATTGATTATAATTTATAAATATTTATCTCTAATGGTAATAATACTTATATGGTAAAAAATTATAAAGATTTGTGTATGGAGAACTATCAGAAAATTTAGAGATATCCTTCAAAAGAATCAAGCAGTTTTCATTTCAAACGGAATTTGGAACGTCCATGAATCACTTCAAATAACACTAACATAAATTATATTTATGAAAGAAGCACGACTGAATCCCCCATGAAGAATTATATGGAACAACTTTGTTCTAATCAAAGAAACATTCTTCATGGAAGATAAAAGAAAAATTATTATGCCATGACTCTACGTAAGCAAAAAAATATAAAATCTTCATTTTTCTTTTTCTTATATAGTATCACAACCCTGCGTGTGACTTTATTTAGGGGTATGGCTACTAACGAAGGATCAATTTTTAAAGACATGATCAAAGATAATGATGTAATAACATTATTAGATTTCAAGATCTCTAAATATGAAGGTAATATATTTAATTACTAAAATTCTTATTAAATGTCACTAAATATAAAATTCACCTCATATATGTCTCAAATTTATAGTGGAGATATGCATGTCACCATAAATTGCATCAATAATATATATCAACCCAAATATACAAATTACTGAAGAAGCAAGAGAATAGTAAGTAAACCAAACAAACATCCATATAACACCGTAAAAAATATTATTATTTAAAGCTAATATGCAGCACTCTTTCAGAGTAAGCTGCCAAGACAAAAGCATCTCCACTAAGGCTCTTTATAAATACAATATAAATTTAAATTATTAATATATACAACCATTATAACATTCGAAAAAGGTATGATCTTAGAAAACCTACTCTAAAATTCATGCAATTAAACCTAAGAATAATTTACCAATATATAGACACACTATAGCACCTTTAAGGTAACGATAACTATCATTTATAATACAGTTGAGTTGTCGTTCTATGTTTGGAAAGGCTGCAACAAGAAAATGGATAGAGATGTTAATAATAAGTGTTCAAATGATAAATGTCGTAGAATCATCGATGATGTAGAACTAAGGTTAAGTTATATCTCTTCTTCATGAAATAAATATATTAAAATTAAGTATTAATATTATAATCTAAAGAAAATTAATAATGAAAAATATAATGTATTTAGTTCAGATCCTCTTGGAAAATAACACAGATAAAGCAAATGTAACATTATGACACATCAGAAATTCTTATTGGATGCACAATAGAAGAATTCATTGCAGAGGAAAAAGAGGTAGCTCATAACCTTATTTAAGTAATAAATTAAAAGCATAAAAAATTTCATATATATAGAATTAACTTTTATTCTTATTGAAATAGGAAAAAATTAAAGTCCGTATTATCATAATTTTGTGTTGGACATAAGAAATATATTCAGCTTCTTTGTAAATTTAGACGAGAAGACAAAATATGAATGAGCCCAAGGAAAGATAACATGCTCTAGCCTCATATCACAGTCAATGTAAACAATGAAGAAACTACTCTAGAATTGCCCAGGAAAAAGATAAAGATGAAGAATGATTGATCTCGACTCAAAAATAAAATAAAACAGAAGCAATAAAAGATAATGTTTTGTGAATTGTTATAGAATAATTTAATGTTTTTAGTAAAATTAGGAATCTTTAGAATGGATTTTCATAAACTATTTTTAGTGCTTTTATATGCATATTTGGATGCTTTTATCATATAAAAGTGTACTATAGTTAGCATTAATGTTTAGTTTATAATTTTTTATTAATAATTTTTTGTTATTTTAGCCCACTTTAAATCAATCATCTTGGCTCGTTGGTTTTATTATTCATCTTCCTTTTATAATGTAATTTTTGTAAATGTTTTCACTTTCATAACACTATACTTCCTAAGGTCAAACTCGGTTTTATGCCCATCCAAATGAAATAAAAATTTAAATTGACTTTAGATTATATTTATCTCCTAACAATTCAACTATCAACATAAAAATTTAAACTGGGTGTAGCCTATTCAAACAAACATCAAATAAATATATAATCAAAGTGTAATCAAAGAATAAATTTTAGTAAGAAAATAAACAAAAAATACCTAATCACTGTATTTAACCACGTGCATTGCACGTGTATAAAATCTAGTAAATAAATAAATAAGAGAAGTATTTTTGTTTTTGTTTTTTTTTTTCTACTTTGCTCACGCTGTGCTATGATCAACATTTGGATTTCAAATCACTGCAAGTCACAAAGAATTCTAGTGTTGAGGATTGACTCAGGTGTCTCTCCCATTTAGACTATTATAAAACAGCATGAATTTTTTTTTTAAGTGATGGGTTAGATAATTCCGCCATATATAATCCATTAATGCGCACTATAAAAACAATCAGCATGACAGTGCACATATTTTTTTTTAAAAAAAGAACAACTAACTTTTTTTATTGTGAGAGCGGCCCATTTATTAATAAGGATACAGCCCACTTAGATGGGGGGACAACCAAGGATAAGGTGATAACAAGAAGACTGGAGCCCAGCTATCGTAGACCGTCCGATTGAAATTGGTGGTAGTTACGACAGATCGACCGGTTGAGATTCGTCAAGACTCGACCCAGATTAATAGTGTATACATTTTATTACATTATTATTATTCTTATACAAGTCTCATTTAATTTCCGTAGTAAGAATATTACTACTGAAACCGAGAGAATAATAATCGAATAATCTCCCATTTTATTCTTCTCTTTGAGACTTTGATCGATCGATTTTCCCTAGGTCAGTGCAATTCTCTTCAAAATTACTCAATGTCCTAATTTCAGTTTTTTTTTTTCAGTGAAATCACCTAAAATTGCTCACTTTTAGCCTGATTTGTTGATTTTTTTTTTGCTAACTTTTTAGCTTTGTTTGGTGATTTTTGCTGACTCTTTAGGTGGTTATAGCTAATATCTGGTAGGTATTGATATGTGAGAGTTAGGTGATGACGAATTATGAGTAATTTTAAAGAATATTTGGTGATCGTAACTCTGTGTTGAACAGTAATGATTGATTATGAGGATTTTATGTCCTGATTGATGATATTTAGTGATGAAATTGCTGGTGGATTCAGATCAAAGTCTTCTTTGATGATGTATTGATTTTGTCATACTTGAATGAAATTTATTTATTTCCAGTGATATTTACTCAATCGCATTGAGCTGGGTTTGGTTCAGGTCATGTCAACTACTTGATCGAGAATTTGATTCAACCCTCACTTTGTTCCTTCCCAAATTAGGGTTTTGAAAATTGCATTCTAATGTCAATGCAATGAAGTTCAAGTTTAGTGGAGGGAGTAAAGTGGAGGCAGTTGATACGAGGGAGGCGACCGCAGGCTCTTGGCGATGTGCTGAAATCATCTTGGGGAATGGTCGTGATTATAGTGCTAAATATGATCATTGTTCGCCGGAATTAGATTTCTCTGCGGAGAGAGTACCGAGTAAAGATATCAGGCCGTGCCCTCCTTCTATGGCGGGCTTAAGGAGTTGGGTTCTTGGTGATGTTGTTGAGGTATTAGAGGATAGTTGTTGGAAGCCTGCACAAATCTTGAAGGTTGTTGGAGAGAATTATTTTATCGTTAGGCTTCTTGGATCCTCTAGAGAGGTTAGAGCATTCAAATCCAATCTCAGGTTGCAGCAATCTTGGAAGGACAACACATGGACCATGATTGAGAAGGTAACATTATATTATCCTTCTCTACATGTTAATCAATGCAACTTATTTACTTCTCCTTCCATTTCTTTAGATGGTTAGCTACATTTATTCTTACGTGTTGTATTGGATCAATATATGCTAAGCTAAATGATTGAATGCTTTAGATAATCTGTTGTGTTTTATTTTAGCTTCTCCGCTTATGAAAGTTTCCTCTAAAACTGTAGTTTGTTCATGTTTCGCTACAGAATCTGAGTTTTTTTTTTTTTTTTGATTATTTTTTGCAGGAATATGGAGAAGATTATGATGAAAAGGTGGGCAGTTTGTCCAAAGTAGAGAAGTTTAAAAGTGGGAAAATTCAGTTATGCATGAAAAGATGTACAGGCAATGATCATTTTCTTAACAAAAATGATTCTTCAGTTAAGGAAAATTATCAGGTTTCCTCAAGAGTCATGAAGAAAAGGATGAAGTTGTGCTCGCATAATTTCGAGGAACATACTGGAGCCACCAAAAAGATGCGAACAGTCATGGAGGGAAAGCATCAGAAGACAACTGCTAGCTATTTCTTTCAACTACCGCAAACGGTAGATGCTGTTAATTCACCAAAAATTATGTTTGGTGATACATTCATGCATGATTCCTTCGAAAATGGTAGAAGCCAGTTTCCTGAAATGGGAATGCACGGGGGAAATCCAAATGATGATGTTGTCCAATTTAGCGTAGGGAGTTTCAAACCAAGTTATTCTGAAAGCTTTTCATCCTCAGTTGGGAGTTCCAGTCCTAGCTATAGTCCATTTAGGTCGAGGATGCCTCTTAAAACTGGTTCAACTCAAGATTTGAGCATTCATTCTGAGGATGCTGAAGGAAGATTGGGAGGTAATATTCATCCATTGGAGTTAAATGCTTATCGTTCTACCTTAGTTGCATTGTATGCATCGGGGCCATTGAGTTGGGAGCAGGAAGCTTTGTTGACTAACCTTCGCCTTATGCTCCATGTAACAAATGATGAACACTTATTTGAGCTAAAGCATTTAGCAACTATCAAATGTAATTGAGTTCAATTTAAGACATTCCTTGGTTAAAAAGCTCATTTTATCATGTAACATCTTTGTGCAAATCGTTGCATGGTTTTGTAAGGTCTAAATTTCCGGAGCTAAGAGTTAGACAGTAAATTACTATGACAAGTATTTTTGTAGATGGTATAAGTTTTATGACTAATCATGCTGCTGTTATTTATTATATTTAGTAATTAGTTGGCTAATCAATTTCAAAGTGCTTGGAAATTCCTTAAACAAATAATGTTCAGATTGTTTTTTTTTTGAAAACTCCTAAGGCTAGCTATGGTAAGATCATTCTGATGTAGTCGACTATTTGTATTATGTCTCATTGTAAATAATATGCTTTTGTCAACTTCCATATTGTCTGATTTCTCCTAGAGAATGTTAGCAATCATTGTTGGGTTTTTCCTTTCAAACATCATGTTTGATTCTGATGCGCACTTATCAGGGCCAAAGATGGAGGTATGTGGACAGTGGCGTAGCCAGGAATTTTTCTTACCCTGGGCGAGTTGGCGACAACGAGGATTTGGTCGGGGCGGTCGTCGGAGAGCTTGGGATTGGCGTCGATGTTCGAGCGGTCGAGGGCTTGCTCTGGGAGGCGAGGAGGGCGTCGGCAACGGCGAGGATTTGGTCGGGGCAGTCTACCCTGGGCGAGTTGGCGACGACGAGGATTTGGTCGGGGCGGTCGTCGGAGAGCTTGGGATTGGCGTCAATGTTCGAGCGGTCGAGGGCTTGCTCTGGGAGGCGAGGAGGGCGTCGGCAACGGAGAGGATTTGGTCGGGGCAGTCGTCGAAGTCTCGGAAAGCTTGGGATCGACGTCGAGGCTCGATCGGTCGAGCTGTCGAGGCTCAATCGGTCAAGCCGTCAAGGGCTAAAGGCTTGCTCGGCGAAGAGAGGGCTCAGAGCAGAGGCGTGGCTGACAATTTGGAGGCCCGGTTCTATGCAAGATGGGCAGAGGAGCTGAGGCGGAGGGGAGGAGGACAAGGAGGCGATGGACGGTGAATGGGGAAGGTGGCGGAGGAAAGGGAGGAGGAGGCTTGGAGGGCGGTTGCTGTCGGCGGGGACGAGAGCTAGAGGTGGTTACGGGTCTGGATCTAAGAAGTGGAGCGGGGGAGTAGGATTGGAAGAGGAAGGCGAGGCGGCGATGCTGGCGGCGGGATGAGGATGTGGTGACGAGTGGAGAGGAGACATATCAACAAACAGATAGCGGTCGCTAGTAAAATCACCCACTAAACAACTTTTCAAGAAATAACAAAAAACAGAAGGAAGGAGGCTTCACTTACTCAAACATCCCAATCTTCAACCAAAGCATCGATACAGTTATTTGTTAAAAAAAATTAGGCGGAGCAGAGATTGGTACTAATAACTACTAATAAGACCATTAAGCATTAAGCTCTAAAATTCCACAAAAAGTAAAAAAAAAAGAGAATCTCGATCACATACATACCAGCAATTTCTTAACGAGCCCTAGACTCCCAGCGTGGGAAGCGAGGAACAGAGCGGAGACCTCAGTCCTGTACTCCTCGTACTCAACCATGACCTCATCGGAGACCTCCTCTCCGATCACGACCTCGGCCTTCCTCCCCTTGAAGCAGACGGCTCCGGCGAAGTTCACGTCAACGGCGGGATCGACGAGGCACTCCGTTGCCGCCTTGAGATCGCTCTTGTGGGTCGCATCGACGAGCCGCTGGGAGACCTCGGACGGACTCATAGACTGGGGGTATTAAAAAATTTTCCATTTTCTTGCCCTGGGCAGCTGCCCAGGGCAAGGCCTTAATAGCTACGCCCCTGTATGTGGAGTTTATTTCTGCAGGGTCATGATGCTGGTGAACCTGTGTAGGAAGTGGGAAGTGGTTACACCCATAACCGCATAACCCCTCCATCATGGGTTAGTTATAGTAACTAAACATGCCCAAATCAAAGACTACAAAAAATCCTCTCACTCGTGAACAGTAACATTCTCTTGTGAACAGTAACCGAGAATGATTATGAAATTATAGTCATCAAAATAAGAGAATTAAAAAGAGGCATTTGAGTTGTGAATCACATTTCCGTTTCGTCACTGTAAACGGGAGTTCGACGGCGATTATTGTGGAGTGCGTGAATCTGGCAGATGGCAATAAATATTCTAAAACGCTTCGAATCGGTAACATTTTAATTCCGCATTTTCGATTCGTTGGTTATTCTCTAAATCTAACATTGGTATCAGAGCCATGAGGTTAGATTTCGTGCTCTTGGATTAAATAAAGAGCATTCATATTTCTTGATATTGATATGCCCTTTAAAAGAAAGTTTGTTAGATGTTTAATGACAAGTTTTAATATACTTGTTACCATGATCTTACATTCGCACGAACGATAGATTATACAATTTTGATGATCTCTGCAAAATTTTGCTTGAAGCTATCACATCATGTGGTTTGAGATATATTTATTTTTGAATTTTAATATGTTTTTGAATAACCTGATGTTTGCAGTCATATATCTATCTGGTTATTAAGTTATTTGATCGGTTATAAATTCATATGCGTAGATCTACATGAGAGCTTTCCATCGACATATTATTTGTATTTTTTGGACTACCGGTCGAAAAGTTATGTTAATTCAAAGTTGAGATGACGCAACAATGTTTATGGTGCAAGGTTGAAGATGATATGTGGGTTTTGCAATTCGACCCCTAAAATTTTTTTATTGCAGACACAGTAAAATAACAGTTTTTACTAGGGCTGAGCATGGTTCGGTCCAAACCGAAAAAACCGACCGAACCGACCCGAACCGACCCGAAAAAATCGGTTTTATGAGTGGGGTGGTTCGGGTCGGTTTGAAAATTTTTCAACCCGAACCGACCCGAACCGACCGAATATAGTGCAATACTACCCATTCTGATCTCAAACCCTACCCGATCCGTCCCAAAAGAGTCAAAGACTCAAACCCTAGACTCATTTTCTGAATCATTATGGGTTGAAAACAATATCATTATATCAGTGTTTAATGCTTCATAATCTCCTACTTTGTTGATATCTTTTTTTCTTTAACACAGTTTGTTGTTTGATAAGAAGTTTGATGAAGTTAGAACCGAACAAACCGAACCGAACCGCACCGAACCGACTTGCAACAGTTTGGTTCGGTTTTGATTTATAAGCGGTTCGATTCGGTTGTTCAAAATTTGATAAAAACCGAACCGAACCGACCGTTGCACACCCCTAGTTTTTACTAAATTACACATAAGCCCTTTTGTTATCAGAAATTTGTAAACAGTACCAGAATATGGATTGTGTAAAATTACAGCGAAACCCAGAGTTTATGAAAACTTGCAAACAGACCTAATTTTTTGGTGTAAACTTATAGTTTAGTCTAAAACATATCTGTTTTTTTGCAAACAAACCCAGTTTATGGAAAATTGTAGTTTTGACCCATTTTGGGATATTTACAGATCTGACACAATTTCTGAAAAACTACAGTTTGGCTCAATTTTCTATAAAATTACAGTTCTACCCAGATTTTTTTAATTAATTGCAGTTTGACACTATAGAAATCTGTAACTTGTTATTTCATAGCATGTTTAGCATAAAATTAATTTTTTCTGTAAATTAATTGACATGCTTAATTATTGTTTTTTAATTAGCATGCTTAATAACATGTCACGATATATTTTTGAGTGGGAGGTTTTAGGTTAGTAGAATTTTTTTAAAGAAATTTTATCACTTAATTCCTAGATTTTACGCACAATTGAATGATTAAATAATGTTAAAACTTTGTTAATGGGAGATGATTGGATGTATTACATTTCTTTTGATTTCATGAGTTGGTTAGATTATTATTAAATTATTCAAGATAATGCAGCAAATTTTTTTTATGAATTGTGCTAGTAATTAATTTTGTGCCATTTATTATGTTTCTAGTTGATTATGGCTGCTACCAAGAGCATTGTTGTTGACCTCAATAAGGGGGAACTGAATGAAAAAATTTATGATGTTTGGCATCGCAAGATTTAGTATCTCCTCGAGGAGCAAGATATGCTGGAAACTATAACATAATTAGTGATTGAGACTGAATTGGGCAACACTACGCAGCATAAATGTGATCATGAAGCCTTCCAAGCTCGGAAGAGGAAGGACTGTATTACTCGCATATTGATGCTGAGCAGCATGAGAGATGATATCATCTGCGTTTTGAGAGGTATCGGTCAGCTATGACAGTTTGGGATGATGTTAAGCTTCAGTATGATGAGACTTCCACTACTAGACAGCTAGCTCACTCTTAAGTTTAACGGTTATAAGAAGCTCCATGATAACTAGATGATGCAGCATCTTACTGTTATATCAAACATGATTAGCGAGTTGCGAGCGGCAGGGTGTGAGCTTTCTGATGAACAATAGGTAGGGGTGCTAAACCGTATCCGTATTCGAGGAAATATCCATAATCGTATTCATTAGGATACAGATATGACTACTCAAATCTATAACCGATAGGATATGATTACAGATATGGTTTCGTAGTGAAATATCTGTATCTGTATCCGAAATATCTGAATACATATTTGTCATACTATTATGATAGTTTCGATTCTTAGATTATGGATTTATGGTTAATTTTGATGATCAAGATGTCTAATCTTAACTTTTCAGTTATAATGAACATATTAACGAGCTCTTTTGTCTCACATGAACTATGTTTTTCTTAATACTATGTAGTTTTCTCATATTTGTTTTGTATCCGCATGCATTGCCGCTTATATATCTGTATGTATATCCGTAACCGTATTCGATTTTAGCGGATATGATTATAAATTTTTCTTACCGAGATATATCTGTATTCGTATCCGTATCCGAGATGGGTAAGCGGATATGGATATGGTAAGCATCATATCTGAGTCATATCCGGACCGAATGCACCCTTAACAACAGGTTTAGGCTGTCATCCGTTCTCTAGCTAGCTCATGGGAGCACATGCGGGTTAACCTCACCCATAATGATAACATCAAGACTTTTCATGATGTTGCTCGCCATGTGGAGCTCGAGTAGGATCGCCTTCTGACTGAGAAACCTAGCGGGAAGGCATACATGACTGAGACTAGCTCGCACAGAGCATTTGGTTCTAAGCGTGGAAGAGGCAGAGGTGGAGCACCTAAATGGGGTAA